TTCCCTCTGCCTGTCTGGAGGGGGGCCCGCCCTCCAGGGGGCTGGGAGACGGAGGAGGGGGTGGGGTTAGGGAGGGGCGAGGGAGGGGCATTAAGGGCCCGGTGGGCCAATTCTTCTGGATGCTGAGGTCCCACGGGATAACTGTGGCCAGAGATTAGGTGGTCCCGAGACTGGTCCTAGGCTGAAATCTCCTGGGGCGGGGGGTGTCCTTGAAGATGGAATCTCCTGAGAGGTTAGGAGTTTTTCATCAGAAAGATACCCCAGGGTCTTCCCGTTCTGTGTTCGTCTCTATGGGGGGCTTGCCTTGGCGCTGGGTGGGGCGGGGCCTGATCCCCCACTGCGGCGGGGAAGAGGATGGACAGGCTGAACACTCCGTCTGGGGGTGGGCGGGGGGGTGGTCTGCGGACAGAGGAGGAGCCCCGAGCTGGCGGCGTGGGGGCGGGGCGAGATGGGCCTCCCGGCTCCGGGGGCGGGGCCTGACCCGAGGTGGCGCCCCCGGGCTCGGCCCAGTTTTCCGGGTGGGGCGCGTGGGGCGGCCGCGGAGGCGGGGCCTAGAGTGCGGAGCCTCGCTCTCCGCCCGAGCCTGGCGGGAGCCGCCGCCGCTGCCGGAGCCGCCGGAAGCCGGAGCCACAGCGGAGGCCCTGCCGGAGCCGAGCCGAGCCGAACTCGCCGCCTGACACCGGCCGGAGCGCGGAGCCGGCGCGTCTGCCCGCTGCTGGGCCTGGGCAGTGTCGGACACAGCGAGCCGGACCCACCGGCACCAACCCGGCGCGGGAGCCCGGATCGCCCCCCACCAGGCCTGGCGTGAACAAGCCGGAGGACCCAGGGACTGGACCGAAGAGAAACGGGATGGAGGATTCCGTCTAAGCGTAGCGTGGGCACTCGGGCGGGAGGAGAGTGGAGACTTCGCCTGGCACGGGCAGAGGTGCCCAGCGCTTACTAGGCCAGGCTCGAGCACCAGAGAGCCTGGCATCCCAGCTGAAGCGACCTGGGGTCTGGCCTCCCTGAGCCGAGGACACCGCATAGCTCCTGGACCTCCGCTACCGCAGGCTGGGCGCCAGAGGCTGTGCCCGCACCTGCCTGAGACGGGGCGGGTCCAAGGTGGGGCTCTCTGGTGGCCCAGAGCTGGTCACCGGGGAGCCGGCCTCCTGCCGCGGCCCCACTGGTACCCATGTGCCGCTGCCCGCCGGAGCACCATGACGGCAGGATGACCTCTGCCGAGGCAGTGGCGGTGGCTGGCGGCGCTCGGTGGGCCGGGTCCGCCGAGTGGCCCCCTGACACCCCGCAGGCCCTTCGGCGGCCTGGCCGGGCCCGGGTGGCCGTGGCTGCGTTGGTGTGGCTGCTGGCGGGAGCCAGCATGTCGAGCCTCAACAAGTGGATTTTCACAGTGCACGGCTTCGGGCGGCCCCTGCTGCTGTCGGCGCTGCACATGCTGGCGGCCGCACTGGCCTGCCACCGGGGGGCGCGGCGCCCCCTGCCCGGGCAGACCCGCCGCCAGGTACTGCTGCTCAGCCTCACCTTCGGCATCTCAATGGCTTGCGGCAACGTGGGCCTGAGCGCCGTGCCCCTGGACCTGGCGCAGCTGGCCACCACCACCACGCCGCTCATCACGCTGGCCCTGTCCGCGCTGCTGCTCGGCCGGCGCCACCACCCGCTGCAGTTTGCGGCCATGGGCCCGCTCTGCCTGGGGGCCGCCTGCAGCCTGGCCGGAGAGCTCCGGACGCCCCCGGCTGGCTGCGGTTTCCTGCTGGCGGCCACCTGCCTCCGTGGCCTCAAGTCCATTCAGCAGAGTGAGTAACCTAAGTCACTGGTTGAGGCGGTGGGGACCCGGGTGGGAGTGTGGGAATGTGGCCTGGGGCACCCTGTGAGGGGGTATGGCTGCTATCCCATTTTACTGATGACCAAACTGAGGCACGTGGCTTTGGAAGAGTCAGGAACTGAGGCTCAGAAAGGGCCAAGTGCTCAGTGATTTCCAGGCCCCAAACTTGGGCTCTAGAGGCCCAACTGGCTTTGTCTCCATTTGACACGTAGAGGCGCTTGCCCTGGGCCAAGTAAGCCACGGAGGCAAGATCTGAACCCAGTCAAACTGTAAAGAATCTTCCTCCAATGCAAGAGACCCATGTCCGATCCCTGGGTGGGGAAGATCCCCCGGAGAAGGGCATGGCAACCCACTCCAGTATTCTTGCTTGGAGAATCCCATGTATGGAAGAGCCTGGCGGGCTACAGTGCATGGCGGTTCCAAAGAGTCAGGCTCAACTGAGTGACTTTCACTTCACTCAGGCACAGTCCATGCTGTCCTAGAGATGTGGCATAAGACTGTGGACACAGAGGGAGGCTTGACAGTGGGAACTGGTGGGAGAGAAAGAGGGCAAGATGGTAAACCAGGATTTGGAAGTGGGGCTTGCTAAATCTGGGAAGGGGTGGTGTCTTCTGGGAGCTGCAGTGTAACAGGCCCTATGCTAGGTGTTGACTTTGAGTTGTCATGGCAACCACTACTTTCATCCCCATTTTACAGATGATGGAACTGAGACCCAGAGAAATTCATGATTTGTCCAGAGTCACACAGCTCCAAAGGACTGGAATCCTGGTCCATGTGACTCTGGACCTCAGCTCTGATGGAAGAGGGTTGGGGGGCTCTGGGCAGAGGATAGGGCGGAAACTCCAAACCCAGACCCTGCGAAATCACTCTGCTGGAGGATGGAGATCACTTTCCTGCTTGTCCTACTGAGGGTTCTTTTGAGTCACAGCCCCCACCCTGTCTCTGCGCCCACTCAGAGTAGGGAGGCCTGCGTTCCAGCCACGTGTGGGCTCATACTTCCTGGGTGACCTGGGACGGATCTGGATCTTGTCTGGGCCTCAGTCTCCCTATCTCTTTGGTGGAAGAGGTCAGAGTTGATAGAGTCAGAGGGCTTTCTTGCTCTCCCGCCCTTTCTGCTCTGAGATCCTATGACCCAGGCCTGGAAGAGGGAAAGGGTTGCTCCAAGGTCATTGGGCTGGGGTTAGGGCAGCCTGCAGCCAGGAAAG